ACTAAATGCTATGGAGATCCAGCTACAGCTCACTGCATTATTCTTTTTTGAACTGTTTTTGCATTGTTTAAACAGCTGATTTATAGCTGTCAGCTTTAGCAGATAAACTTTCTCTTTAAGTCACTATATTAATTATTTAATACCAACCTGTGGCTTTTCCTTGTCCAAAGATTCTTGAGAAACCCACCTATTTCATTAAAATCAAATAAAATATCTACAAGTTTATTCCAGAACATTTTTAAATTAAATAAATGTGACACTGAAACTTGAAACTCTTAACAATTACTCAACTTTTCAAACATTTAAATAATTTCAAACCTGATGAAGCTAACCCATTACATAGACTTCATTTTTGTCTTGAAGACAAAAAAAAAAAACTGGATGACTCTTAACTTTCTGATTCTGAATTCAGACAAAACAGGAAGTTATTCTCTTTGGACCGGGGTCTTTGGAAAAAAAAAAGCTGATTAGTCAGTCACTTCATTTGGATGGGAATAAATTGATCTAAGATAAGAAAAAACTTTGTTGTAATCTGGTGTCCCTGGTGGGACAGTTGGTCGAATTCCCATGAATCTTTGAGCTCCCTGCAGCAGGTGAAGAGCTGGTCCCGTGTTCCACAGCCAGAACAAAAACCACACTGAAGCCCAGTTTCGACAGTCAGACAGATTTTCCTCATGGCAGATCATGGATCTTGGATCTTAACGATCCCAGAAACTTTTCCACTGTGGAGTTTTTAGACCACTTCCAGCCTTGGTGATATCTACCACCACAGATGGGGTGTCAACCCATCCGAGGAATTCCTCAAAGCATCTTCCACTGTCCAACAATGTCCTCATTCAAGTTCAGCAGCTCCCCACTCCCACTAAAAACAGTTTCAGCAACACATCGATTTTTCCTGTGGTATTGCTTAGAGGTTGACCAATAGTCTCTCTCCATGGCCTCTCCAAACTCCTCCCAGTTCAGAGTTTTTCCCTCTGCGACCGCCAGGGTAGCAGCATACTTGGCTCTTATGGTACCTGCTTGCTGCCTCAGGAGTCCCACAAGCCAATCAGGCTTTATAGGACTCCCTTTTCACCCTTTATTTACCATAATTATGCAGATGTCACACAGCTCTACACTAGAGATGACTAAACACCAATACAAGTGCAGACTAAATATAAAGAAGAAATGAATGTATCAATAAGTAAAAGATTTTTTTTAGTTAAACTGAAGTCAGTTTTTGGACCAAAGGATAGATCAAAAGTTAGCAAACTGCTTAGGATATGAAAGCTATTCACCACTGATCACATCCAAAATCTAAGTGTAGTGACTGACATAGAACTTTAATCCAGAATATTTTCAGGATTGAAGGACCAATGTCTCAGCAGGATCCTGAAAAAGGAATGTTTGATATTGAACAGATTGCTGCATGTGTGATTTCACAAGTCTGCATGAAAACAGCTGCAGTTTATCCAGATGGCTGCTGCCCACATCCTTACTAAAACTTGACAAAGTGGAGCACATCACCCCAGATATAGTGTCCTTACACTGGCTCCCAGGAACTTAAAGTCTATAAACCACTCAATCATCACCAAAACTCATTACATATATTTGGAAATGACTGTATTATTCTCCCATGATTTATGGGCTGCAACAATTGCTTCCCGAAATTCTTTTCGGCTTTCTTCCCAGACCCTAAAAACTCCCATACCTGGTGCTTTTATTGAGATGATCACACTAGTCACAGTGCAAAAAAATATGCATCTACTTTACCATGCAGGTTTTTATGGAAGCAGAAAAGATGTATGTTGTTTTTGGAACTTTTACTTTCTTGATTGCAGGTGGTATCACAAAAGAATTTCATTTATTTACAGTAGGTTTGGCTTCATTTTAGTGAAACATCGCTTTATTTTGAAACATATCAGAATGAACCTCTTGTAAAGATACAGAACATAACAGATCTCCAGACCACAGCAACATTTCCATGCAATTAAATTAAACACATTAAACAATGAAAGGAGAAATTCAAAATCAAACAAGTCATCAAACGATAAAAAAAGTAAGTGTCAGAGCTTTAGATGAAATCTGACAGAAGGTTGAATGGGATTTACCCAAAAAAATAATATACAGTGGAAAATGTAGATGCCTAATTTTCGATCGTTAAAGGTTAGAACTTTCTTACAAGTTTTGAAACATTTGGATAGCTCTAACACTCTGCTATTACTTTTAAAACCATCAACTTTTGAGCCTTTGGCAGGTATTTTACATAAATAAACTGGATGCACAAAGTGAAGCTCATTGTGCCTCGTCTTTAATCCATACAGGGTCAAAATAACAGTATACAGGTAGATACAGTCACATTTAGGTTAACTCCAACTAACAATTAGCTACATTTTCCTTAGCATAATGTATCTCATGTAGCTTCTGGTAGAATTGTGTCTGGATATGTGAGCCCTGTTTTCTGAACAAATGCTTTGTTCGAATCCTCTATCCAGTATGGCCCCCTTATAGTGCCAGTGCCCCCAGCATGATGCTCCCTATACCATGTTTGAGGCAGATACGATGTAAGGTCTGAAAGCCTCACCTTGACGCACTCCAATATATTTTCGTTACAGTGGTTAAGGAGCACAATTAGGTGTTGATTTCTTTCTTGGTCATGCCCTATCAGTCTGTATTGCTGAGCTTAGTAAAACTGGGGTTCTAGCAATTTCTGGTTCTTGTGAAGTTGGAACTTAGCTTTTTTGGGGTTATTCTTATTTATGTTTTAATCTAATCCTTCTCTTTGTTGTCAGCTCATAATTGTGGCTCAAATTTGAACTTCAGCATTGGTTTTAAACCGGACAATTAAGGCCAACATGAAGCTACTGGATAGACAGTAACTTTAACCCTTGAACATTTACAGAAAAAACTTAAAACTGATGGTCAATGAACTTTTTTAAAAATTTGATTAGATTGGTTTAGTATAAAGTTGGAATTATACCAGAACCTTATAGATGACCACAAGTGTATGGTCACTCTGCAGCTTGGTAGTGTACATCCATGCTAATATTAGTCCAGGTGTATACAGAGTAATATTTAAAGGTATAGTGGAGGATTTTCGCAAATTTTTAAAGACCTGCCCTCTCCACTTAAAAAAAAAAAAAAATGCACATGCACAACCCTGCACCCTCTTCTGAAAGGGGAACACCTATTAAATGCGTGCAAGAGCATGCACAAGCCCAATTTGACAATTTAGGAGGACCACTTATTTGATGATGCACCCGGAAAAAAGAACATCCTCCGCTATACCTTTAAGGTTGTTACTTTAATTTTAAGACATAATAATGGAAATAATTTAAACCCAAATCCCTCCAATTGGGGTGTAAAATCTAATTTGCAATACAGGTGCTGGTCATAAAATTAGAATATCATGAAAAAGTAGATTGATTTCAGTAATTCCATTTAAAAAGTGAAACTTGTATATTATATTCATACATTACATACAAACTCATATATTTCAGATGTTTATTTTGTTTAATTTTGATGATTACAAATGACAACAAATGAAAATCTCAAATTCATCATATCAGAAAATTAGAATATTACTGAAGACCAATAAAAACAAAGGATTTATAGAAATGTTGGCCAACTGAAAAGTATGAACATGAAAAGTATGAGCATGTACAGCACTCAGTATTTAGTTGGGCCTCTTTTGGCCTGTATTACTGCAGCAATGCGGCGTGGCATGGAGTCGATCAGTCTGTGGCACTGCTCAGGTGTTATGATAGCCCAGGTTGCTCTAATAGTGGCTTTTAGCTCTTCTGAATTGTTGGGTCTGGTGTATTGCATCTTCTTCTTCACAATACCCCATAGATTTTCTATGGGGTTAAGGTCAGGAGAGTTTGCTGGCCAATTAAGAACAGGGATACCATGGTCCTTCAACCAGGTACTGGTAGATTTGGCACTGTGTGCAGGTGCCAAGTCCTGTTGGAAAATGAAATCTGCATCTCCAAAAAGTTGGTCAGCTGCAGGAAGCATGAAGTGCTCTAAAACTTCCTGGTATGTGGCTGCGTTGACCCTGGACCTCAGAAAACACAATGGACCAACACCAGCAGATGACATGGCACCCCAAACCATCACTGACTGTGGAAACTTTACACTGGACTTCAAGCAACGTGGATGAAGTGCCTCTCTTCTTTTCCTCCAGACTCTGGGACCTTGATTTCCAAAGGAAATGCAAAATTTACTTTCATCAGAGAACATGACTTTGGACCACTCACCAGCAGTCCAGTCCTGTTTCTCTTTAGCCCAGGCAAGACGCTTCTGACGCTGTCTGTGGTTCAAGAGTGGCTTGACACAAGGAATGCGACAGCAGAAACCCATGTCTTTCATAGGTCTGTGTGTGGTGGTTCTTGAAGCACTCACTCCAGCTGCAGTCCACTCTTTGTGAATCTCCCCCACATTTTTGAATGGGTTTTGTTTCACAATCCTCTCCAGGGTGCGGTTATCTCTCTTGCTTGTACACTTTTTTCGACCACATCTTTTCCTTCCCTTCGCCTCTCTATTAATGTGCTTGGACACTGAGCTCTGTGAACAGGCAGCCTCTTTAGCGATGACCTTTTGTGTCTTGCCCTCCTTGTGCAAGGTGTCGATGGTCGTCTTTTGGACAACTGTCAAGTCAGCAGTCTTCCCAATGATTGTGTAGCCTATAGAACTAGACTGAAAGACCATTTAAAGGCTGTTGCAGGTGGTTTGAGTTAATTAGCTGATTAGAGTGTGGCACCAGGGGCCATCAATTTTGAACCTTTTCACAATATTCTAATTTTCTGATATGATGAATTTGAGATTTTCATTTGTTGTCATTTGTAATCATCAAAATTAAACAAAATAAACATCTGAAATATATGAGTTTGTATGTAATGTATGAATATAATATACAAGTTTCACTTTTTAAATGGAATTACTGAAATCAATCTACTTTTTCATGATATTCTAATTTTATGACCAGCACCTGTATGTAAACAATTTCTTATGTTTTCTTGTGAATCAGCACTATATAAGTTACATTTAAATTAAATATAAGCACACCCAAGTCAGCACTGTTATCAGCAGATAAACGCTTTGTACAAAGATGACTAAAGAAGAAGTTTGACGAAATTTCAGTGAATCTGCACAGGAATCCTTCAACATACAAAAAAAAAAAAAAAAAAAAAAAAGGTGTTGAGCTTGAGTACTCAAAAATTAGACTTCCAGCTGATGCTTCTGATGATTATTTTTCTTCATCCTTCATTTTTTCAATCGAATAAGGAATCCCCTGAGCATGATTTGACTTTCTCCAGGCTCCTTGGAATATGAACAAATAACTGGCAGGAAAAATCTGCGTAACCAAGTCCTCTCCTTATTGTCCTGCTTTGTGTTGTGTTTAATTTTTGTTGATACAACATATTAGTTGTAACCCTGCTCAAAATAAGGAGAGTGTGTTAATCCATCTTCCTTCTTCTTTAAAAGCTTTGTATGATACAGTTTGTGGCTCTCAGTGGTGATAAGTGGGAGCATTCCAGGCGCGGTACCAGGAACTGAAAGTTCAAATAAGGAAATAAACAGAAATATAGTTATACATCTCATAGTTATACTGGGTAGCCTGCAATTTAAGTTGTCTAATCAACAGTTATTAATCTAGAAGTGAGATTTGACCACATATGTCAGTTGAGTATGCAAAGTTGGTTATATAAGACTGAAATAACACAAACAGCATCAAAAGCTAATGTCTATTATAAATTTATTTGGGCTTTTTTTGTATAATCTCAAACATTTGTAGCAGAAATATGATTTAAATAACATTTGTTGTTCATTTGGTTTTATAGACTTTTACTCAAGGCTGCTCAGTGGCGCAGTGGGTAGCACTGCTGCCTTGCAGCAAGAAGGTTCTGGGTTTGATTCCTGGCCTGGGGTCTTTCTGCATTGAGTTTGCATGTTCTCTCTGAGCATGTGTGGGTTCTCTCTGGGTACTTCGGCTTCCTCCCACAGTCCAAAAACATGACTGTTAGGTCTAACTTCTCTAGATTCTCTTTAGGTGTATGTGTGAAAGGTTGTATGTACTGTTTGTCTCTGTGTTGCCCTGCGATGGACTGGCGACCTGTCATTCACCAGCACCCCTCGCAACCCCAATTGGGACAAGCGTGTCAGATAATGGATGCATGGACTTTTACTTAAGTATCAACTGAGCTAAGATAACCAGGAGGAGGTAATAAGACTTTTCACATCAGACAATATTTCAGCTTCACATAAGACACACTCAGTAGCATGTATTTACCCAGGCGTACTGTACGAAGCTGGGTTGACCTGGGAGGTCAGAGCAACAGAGGCAGCAACTGAGAGGCTGTTGGGAGATGGTTCCCGACTTGTGCTGTTTGGAGATGAATTTGATGAAACTGAAAGATAAAGGACCAAACATTGTTCAAAACCATAGAAATATTATTATAGAAGGATTTTCATTAGTGGAAGAAGTTTCATTATTTGAATTTCAAGGGAAACTAGCCAAACTGTCTTCTTTTTTGTCAGACAGTCATGACAGTTATCTGGTAAATTGAGGACGGTACTCACCTGCACCTGAGGCCAAAGGACTATAGGACCTGGATGTAGAAGCCTGAAACCGTTTCAAAACAGACGTTAGGATTGTACGAATGTTAAGAAATAGACATCTCTATAAAATCAACGAGTGCTTTTACTCAAAATGTCTGATATTGTTGTTGAAATAATGTTGCCCCATTTATAAATATCATTCATACTTTATTCTCACTCTTTTCAGGCTTCCAGAGATTCCAATTAAGAAACATGAAATTAACTTTAATCACCAAATCCAAAACTAGATTGAATTTATATGAGTAAAGGATTAAAATATCTCAACAAAGTAAAAAAAAAAAAAAAGAAAAAAAGTGCACTACTAAACTCATGAAGGAGATTAAAAAGAAAACAACATTCTTTATAGTAATGGCTGGAGGGGGTTAGAGGTTAGTCCTTAAAAGGTTTAATTTTATTATCAAATTCAAGTTAAGAGAGGGATGGGTTTGACAGTTTACCATTCTGGAGTTGTAGCTGTGCGATTTGACTGGTAAAGTAGCTACTGGGCAGTAGATCCTCTTCTCCTTCTGACGGCGGTTGCAGAACCAAACTCGAACAACCTCTTTCTCCATGGAAAGCTGCTCGGAGATCAAGGTTATCTCCTCTGAGTTAGGTTTTGGATTCTGAAACCAACAAGAAAAAAAAAAATCAGAAATCTGTCTGTGCTATCTGGATAATTTCCAGAACAGTGTCTCAATAGTATGATTATCCTTCAGTCTTTAGACTGATGGATTTGATCACATTAACTTTACAGCATCTTATGTTGACAATGGGTATTGTCACCATATTAATTAACATGCATTGTGACATTATTAACATGCTTAGAATTTCTAGTAATCTACCACAAGAAATGCTGTTAATTTGACGGTAAATTATAATACAGGTGGTTAAAATTGAAATTTTCTGGGGGGGAACAACAAAGATTGACCATTTAATGCTAATTTTTTTATCTCTGACAGAAAAAGGGTTTAAGGTTAGCATTTTAGCAGGTTCACCACTAAGGAATGGCTTATGTTTATTGATTATACTAAATTTCAACATTATTTAATGTTAACGGTAAAGAAAGGCACGTTTTATGAATTAAAAGTGGATTTTAAAGAGCTAATGGTTTATTTTAGAAAGCTGGCTCGACTTGCAACCATAACACATGAATAATATTTGAATTTTGTTTGGGAATACACCTTATTAAGTACTTCTTAGTCATGGATAAGATTTTTTGGAAACGGCTCAGCTTTATAGATTATATGGTAAGATTAGTACATATAAATTTAACTATTTAGATCTTAAACTTTGCATATCAGAGGTTCAAGCTCACATTCAGTAGGATGACCTGCACATAAAATCTAGTTGGTTACAGGATTTCAACATTTCTTTCAAGATCATATTTATATCTTTAATAATTTCGTCTATCAAAAAACATCTAGCCTTTTTTTTTCCTCCAAGAGTAGAAGATGAAAATATTGTGCAAAACCAAACCATCGCAGTTATATATTGCATTATTTCACACCTGTGAGATCGGCTGAACATTAGCTAGAAACATACAGAATCAAAAGCAAATGTATTATATGATGTTCCTGAAATTATTTAACATTCTTTAGAGATCTTCTTTGATTCTGAGTTCTTGGTGGGTAAAGTCAGGTTGTTTTTTTTAACAATATCATCATCGTTTCATTAGCATTTTAACTTTCTAAATCATTTTGTTTATTAAATAACAGAATTCAACGTTTGTTTGTCTTGATCTTACGTCAAGAAAACGTTTCTCCAACGTCAGCTTGATGTTGGTTTCTATGCTTGTCCTCTTTTTCCGTTTGCGTCCGTATCCCTCCATCAGAGGAGGCAGAGAGGTTTGAGTGTTCATCGAGTCAGAAGGTGAGTTTTCTAAAACATGAGAAAAAAAATTAGCGGTGTAATCAGCTCAAAAAAGCAAGAAAACAACACATTAAATATGCTAAATTATATTCCATTATAGTAAGCTTCTTCTAGTGTTCTAAATATTTTGTGAATTTTGTCACTAAAGTTCTTTTTGAGGTGCCTCCCTAAAGCATATTTTTCTATTATAGATCCTTATTATAGATTCCCCCAATGATGAAGAACTATGATCACCCTGCACTTCAAAACCAATAATCATGATGCAAATAACTAACACATTTTGGGAAACTGATATTTGCCTTTCAGGATTTTTTCTCAAAGGCCAAAGCTCTCTTATTTTGTAGTTCTGTGTACCTGCATCACTGAGCCACTTCTCCAGCAAAGGTTTGAGCTTGCACATGTTTTTGAAGCTGAGATTCAGAGCCTCAAATCGAGATATTGTGGTCTGGCTGAAATCATTCCCATAAAGTTTTCCCATTGCCAGGCCCACGTCTCCCTGTGAGAAGACAAAATAATGACAAGACGAATGAAGCAAGCAGAAAATAACATTTCTAAAATCTCTGGAATGGTGACCATCCATTACAGAAAAACGGAAACACAAGTGAACAAAGAACTAGGAAGATATTCACATTTAAATCCAATAACAGGTTAACCAGATTTTCAAACTTTTGGCTGGTTTTCAGGATCCTCAAAGTAAATCAATGTTATTATCTTTCTTTCAATACCTGAGTGAAGCCCAGCTTGATGCGTCTTTGCTTAAATGCTTTGGCAAACTGCTCCAGTTCCTCCAAATCATTGGGTTCCTCCTGCGGGGCCACAGATATGTGTTTGGGCATCTGCAGGTGTGACATGTCCATGTGGTTCTCCATAGAGGGTCCAGCCAACCCGGAGCGACTCATAGCCTGCATTGGAAAACCATCCCACAGACTGATCTTCAGCTTTACGAAGGCATTAAAGGGACAATTCAATCACTACAAGCATAAAAAGGAACCCACAACTTGTTTTAATACTTTCAGTGTTGTTTTTCTTTGCAACGCACAGCACCACATCTGGTGAAAACCCTTGCTAACTGTCATTAAGCATGGTGGTGGAAGGCTGATGATCTGGGCTTTTCTTCCAGATAAGATCACTTTAAATTAGGCATGAGCTTCTAAATACACTTAGGCGTTCCTCAATTAAAGGTTTATGGTGAAACTCAATATAGGAACCATTCATGGGAGAAAATAGTGCAGGTTACTTTTGAACTAAACAGAAAACCTAGAACACGCTGCAAATACGACCTAAAAATAAGTCAACATTTCTTAAATTAAGTGTATTTATTCTAAATTTGAGTAGGTAAATAAGATAATTTGCAAATGGAATTACTATTTTTACTCTTAAAATAAGATAATTAGATAATTATGCTCTTGAAATAAGACAATCCAAGTTTTTTTTTCTCATTTTAAAAGTAAAATGTCTTGTTCCATTGGCAAAGTCCCTCACTTACCTACTCAATTCCAGAAATAATGCACTTTGCACTTATTTTAAGAAAAAATTACTTATTTAGATTTCAGTTTTTTGCATTGCATAATGGCTAAGAACAAACAAACAGAATATTACTACTGCAGTGTCCTTTAAGATTAAGAACAAAGTGAAATTTTCTTTCCTCGGCTAACAATAGCAGTGCATGAATAAACACCCATAAACCTCATTTCAACTGAATCAATACAGGTATGAACATGAGGAATCACCCCACAGGGATTTTACGGGATCAGTTGCTTTAACGGGTTGTACCATCAAACCACTGAATGCTTTTAAGTGAATAGTTTATTTAAGCTAAAGGAACTATTCGTCTCCACTTCTGCACGCAGATGCTCTAACACTGAAAGCAGGCCAACAGCAGTTCTATCATCTTCTGACAATTAAAAACTGTGAGAACTGAGAGCAGGACTGACCTGTGGAGTCAGCGCTAGCCCAGACTGATGCTGAAGAAGACCTTGTGGACTCTGGCCGGGAAGGGAGAGCAGGTTCGGCTGCAGGAGGGCTGCCAAGCAACACAGCAGGAGGTTTATCAATAACTGCTTTGGATGGACAGAACTGAGCATCTTTCTGTACATTTACATTTAATTCCACATTTTTTTATCTCTTCTCACACTGAGATTTATCAAACTATATCTTTGACTACCATCTCAAACTGCATTCTATCTTCAAACTCAATTGTTTTTTTTATAGAGGAGGTCATATTTTTTCCCAGTAGTTACTTGCTTAAGTCTCTACTTGAACTCTGGAAATAGAGGAAGCTCACTGAGACTCCACCTTGGTGGCTGGAGGGACTCTGGGAGATTAGGAAGGGGGAGGGAGTCGACAGGTGAGACGGCGGCATCAGAACCAGTTGCTGCATTGGATGGAGGGAGGTGAGCTCCTGAAAATACAACATGTAGAGTTGGGTTTATTTTAGAAAAGCAAAACGGGAAGAAAATTTGTTTATATTTAGAAGTTATAAGGGTTTTTTAATTTCTTTAAGTAGAGAAAACTTTCTGGTAATCTCTGATTAAAAACCTACAATTTTAAATAAAAGGATTGTATTTTTTTAAATATGCAAAAAAACAAAAAATCTCAGATGTAAACGTAAATATGCAGAGTTGGTTAATTCGAGTCATTTTATGTGGTCAAGAGAGCTTTTTTAGCGAAAAAGACTTATAAGCACGGTGGAAGCTCTGTAATACTTGGGGCTTACTTCTCCTCAAAAGGCCTTATTACTATGGTAATAAGATTCCCAGGAAATAGTTTATCTCACACAAAATCAGACTTCTATGGTTGTCTTGGTCGACACACCTAGATCTAACTAAAATCCCCATGGGTGAGCTGGAGAGAAGGGAGCACAGCAGAGGAGGAGTCAGAGATCTCTCTCTCTTGCTGTATGATCAGTGTTTGGTACTGTCTGGTAAAAAGGTGGTTTATACAAATTGTAAATGGGAAGCAAACTGGTAATTGTAGGATGAGTGATTTTAGATCAGATTACGAATCTTAAATGAAACATAAATTATTTTTTTTCTCATCTTTGTCTGTGATGGTAACAGATATATAATGAGAAATATAAGCACAGACTCTATTTAACATGACTTATTTTCCAGCAGATGGAATGGAGCCACTTTGAACTGTTATCCGTCTAACGACCAGCAGGGGGCGACTCTTGTGGCCTCAAAGAGAGGAAGCCTCCACTGCCTTCATTGTCATGGGCAAGGATTTTCCTAATGAGTCCATGGGACAGGTTTTGGTTTTCAAGTCATGCTCATTGCTAAGTGTTAGTAAAATATGACATCATTTAGGGAAAAAAACAAAACAAATGAAAAATGTTTTTTTATGGCAAGCGCTATAAGATAGTTTAATGCTTTTTTTGGGATTCTTAATGTCCCATCTTCTTGTAATACATCATATGATACCATTAAAAAAAAAATTTTTTCAAATTGTTTAGGATAAATCAGTGTTACACAGCATGTGGAAACTTACTGACAAAGGAGAGCATGATTTAATGGGCTTTGTCTTACCCCTGTCAGCTGACCCCCATGCACCGGAGAGCTCTGTGTGAGGTGACATGTCTTCACAGAGGAGGTTGAATGAGGAGAGTCGTTGAGGTCTTCTGTTTTAATCTAAAGTGCAGCAAACATATAAATAAATAGAAAAGTGGAGATATGAGAATAATTGTCTAAATGTGACAGAGGCCATAGAAGCAGGAAACATATGTTTCCGACTGCATTTTCACAGCATAGATGCAGACCAAACTCACAGGCCTCACAACCTGTTTGGTCGCTCTTTGTGATAAAAAAACACGATAGACGGTCAACCTTCCCTTTGGGCGAACCGCTATGCAAATATCCATTCCCCTAACTCCCCTTGGCACTTCCTCAAAATACAGAATGAAAAATAATAATAATTACGGTGCTGCAAACTGTGTAATTTGTTTCTAATTAATCAAACTGACACTTAAAGTTTGTAAACCTTTTGATCTGGAAACATTCCCAGACATTTCTTAACACCATCAACTAATCTTAAAAGACTAAAGCAAATGCTTTCTGGCATAAAGAACACCTATGTTGTCAACAAAACACCACGGTTAAACTTTATTGCCATGGAAATATGTTCAGTTGAAGTCATCTTCTTTATCTAAAGAATCATTCCACGGTTGATTAAATAATTTTAACTTTTAAAAAACAAAAACATTGTGAGGTTAGTGAGAAGGCATTTCTGCAGCACCTATTTTAGCTTTATCAGTGTAGTTTGCCGTGTCACTTGGGAACCATGTTTCTAACAGAAAGATTAATATTTGACTAGTATAAGACAGTAAAACATTTTTATATTTACATTTAAGTCTAAAAAGTTTAAAATTTTTATCAAAGTGAATTATTTTCTATCAAATAGCACAGACAACGGATATTTTTAAAAAGCCTTTAGGATATTATATCAATCAAGAAATATTTAAAGTTTATTTAAGCCATATATGCTGCGACAGCATTGATGCAATCCTGCAAATTGAAAGCATGTGGTTAAGTATGTTAATCCTTGCTTTTTACGTCAATGAATATAATAATATTATGTTTAGATTTTCATATATGTTGAAGTTTTAAAGCAGACATTCAGTAGTTTTTAGATAATTGAATGATCAACAGGAACTTGGTGTAGATCCTGGTTTGCTCTGTCAAAACACAGCCTCTTTGTCCTTAGGAACAATAAGAGGTTCAGCTTTTTGTAACTCAAAACAAAGGTTATTTAATGAACAGACTTGGAAACGGTTCAGCAGGCCAGGCTGGCCAGTGGCAGTGGAAGGATGCAATATTTTTTTTTATCTACAAATATGTTATTGTTCATTTCTTTTTTAGTAAATTAAGCTGGTTTTTAAAATGTTGATTTTGTACTGCAACAAGATGTTTCCTCCCATTGGAGCTGAACATTTTGTTCATGGTTGGTGTAAAAACATATTAACGTTCTGGCATTTTACGCATCAATTACTAATTTTTCAATCAAGCATAGATTGTGTAAAATGATGCTAATTCCAACGCTATTGCAAATGACTCTTATTATCAGCCTGCTGGCTAAGTTTAACGTTTAGCTTATCTCAGTGGTTTTCAAACTGAATGCCACCAATGGGGGTCATGGTGGAAATTTAGAGAGGGGAGAAGAAGCTGATTTATATTATTTACCTATTCATTGAATACATGGTAAGTAAATTGTGCTTTGATTTTTAAGACTTTAGCAACACTTCTGGGTAAAAGTTACATGACGGCTGGTTATGATTGGAAATGCTGAGTTAACCTTAACATGTCGAAAATGACATTAATGGTGCTTTAGATTGAGTTTGATTATTCAAAAAAATCAAATACACTTGCACTAAAATCAGAATTTCTAAGTTCACCCTGACAATAATCATAAACCCAATATTTACCAGTGCATACCTAACCATTTACTTAATCTAAATTCAATTTACTTTTAAGCTCTAAACCTAATTGAAAGTGGGGATGAGCAAAATTTCCTCTCTTTGATACAAACCGTCCTCAAATTGATGCAGAAATAGTTTAAATGATCCTCACTCTGATGCTAAAACAGGAGCACACTTCCACACACGATGTTTTGTCCACCTACACCTATGGGGACTTCGCCTTCTCTTCCATTTCAGTGTATTAGCCCTCCATAACAGATCCTCACACACATATTTCCTATCACCGATCAACTCAACCTCAACTCAGTTTCTCACCTCAGCCCTAAAGCCAACCCAGGAATAGAACCTTTCCTCATAAGGACAACACAATTTAGCATATTCCTAGTAAAACTGCAGGGAACAGAACAGGAAAAAGAGGAGCTGATTTTATTCCCCACAGCGGAAGAGTTACCCTCATCAGTTTTTTCTGGTCATGGTTTCCCCTTTGGACTTCTTTTTTTGAGTTTCTTTTTAAGTTTTCAGTTATTTATGTCTGTTTTCTTGGCCATTGGTTTATTTTCCATTTTGTGTTATTGTAATTGTTTTCTAGTTATATTGAACCAGTGCTGTGTTTTTGTGTTTCTCTCTGCTGCCCTCATGTGCCAGTCTCCTTTTCCCTTGCTCCCTTCTAGTTGCTTCTATCCACACCTGCTCCCTATTAGCTGATTACCTCAGTCTTTGTTCTGTCTCCCATACATACAGTTACTGTGCAGTTCCCCGGTCCTTGTTTCTCGTCGTTACTATGCTCCTCATGTGTGTTTTCCCTGACGTACCCTGGTCTTTGTTTTCTGTTTTTTGTTTTTCATTTCGCTTCTGTTGCCTTCGCGTCTTCATTAAATCAGCAAAAACTCATCTTCGCCTCCTTGTACTCTGCATTTGGGTCCTCTGCCACATCCACCAGCATCCATCCACTGTTTTGACACACAATATGTTTGGAGCCAATACTAATTCACTACACTTTTTAAACATGAGAGTGGCGTCACTCATATGGTTTTAGACACAAAAGAAGGAATTCAACAAATATGCAGTGAATTGTCAAAATGATGTCCTTATCATCATCATCATGCAGCAGGAAAATGATCTAAACTATCACGTACTAGTTTAAAACACAAAATAATGCCCAGTCAGAGACCAGACTTAGATCTAACTGAGATGATGTGGGATGACCTTAAATCAGCCTATTTAGGCTTGAAACCTTTCCAGATTTGCTGAATTGAGACAATTCTGCCAACAATAGTGCTCCAAAATTGTGGCAGAATCAGTTATTAGGTTTAGATTGCATAACTTTTCTTTTATAAAGGTTCATATTTTCTTTGTAAATATTCCATATATTAATCAAGTGTAATTAGCTGTTAGTAATTCCTTATGTTATCTCTGTCATTAAAATTTGTCTGGTGTAGGGCTAAAACAATTAATCATATTAATCGATTATTGAAATAATCGTCAGCTAATTTAGTAATCGATTAATCAGAAAAATAATTGATAGATTAATTGATTTGTAAAATAATCGTTAGTTGCCGCTTAGTCTGGTGATTATAAAGCACAGCCATAAGAACCAACACATCATAGATCCAACTGTGGCTCTGTTGTGGCACATTATACTGTTTTTTCCATCTATCTAACTGTTTTGATTAACTGTGGGCTCTTTTAGTTTGTTTTCCACTAAAGATTTTCCTTTCAGTGAAGAATCATTCTCCTAAATGTACGGTAAGCCATACATGCATCCTCTCTGCGATACAGACAGCCCAGCATTGCATGTGGTCATCTTTGACTATCATTTCTCTTTCATTATGAGATGTATTTATTTGACCAACATTGGATTGCATGCAAGCAAAGAGGAAGGGATCATATGTATAAAAAAAGATCATCCTGAGTCATAGCGTTGGAAACAGAGGCCTCATTCACACAATCCTCATTCATAAGAATTTGGACACTGGAAGTGATGTCAGGCACCCACCTGTCGATTGAAGTCTATTCCGTTTCGTTCTGCATGTGGAAAGAGAGAAAAAAGGAAAACAGATCAGAAATATATAGCCTTCTGTAAAATAAAATCCAAAGCAAATCAACTATAAGACCATTATGAAAGAGCAAGTGTTGGACTTTAATGTATTTTGTGTTACCGCTTTAACTGCAAATTCGAATTAGAAAATTTGTCAGAGTTTTTTCATTATTATAGAGATTTTGCCCTTTAAAATACATAATATTTAAGCATTTACTCTTTGATATTTGAAGAGTAAATAAAGCCTCTTTAATTTTTCGATTCAGTTTTTTGTGCTTCAAGTTCAAATACTACCATTGCAGAAAATACATTTAATAATCAGAGGTTCACCAATCATGCTTTTTTTTTTTTTTGGATTAATACAATACATTTGTTTTCATGGCTTCACTTACTCATTTCCTTTTTTGGCTGACTGTCACATAAAAAAAAAGAAAACAAACTGTAGATTCCTCGCATTAAGTTGCTCATAATGTGAAGTTGATGTATATAAAAAAGGTGTGAACTCTTGATTTTAAATGATTAAATGTGAAAGAGAGGAAGGCAGATTATTACGTTTTACTTCCAGATCACAGATGAGAAATTATCAAACAATAAATGAATATTCTGGTCCCTGACCAATAATCTGGATCATGTCTATTTTTAATATAATAATGCACAGTTGAAATTCTTATCAACAAACCGATTAAATAATGCTCTTTTACAGGGAAGTTCATGAACTGAACAAATTATTGTGACATTTATATCAATTAATAAATAAAAACAGAGATAAAACAAATAGATACAAATAAGAACTAAAACTATATATTATTTTAAATTCATACATGAGGGCTGCACAGTGGCACAATTTACAGCACAGCTGCATCCCAGCGTAAAGCTTGGGATCTTTCTACGTACACTTTTTCCTAATACATTTATAGCCTCTTTTTATTAACTTCGCCAAACAAAACATAACTGATTGGTTAATAGCCTTGGATGCATGATAGTTTATCCTGTTAGTGACCCAAGACCTTGCATGAAACGTGGGTATAGACAATGAGCGGATTTCTGATGACTGTTCATTCAAGTAATTTCAATTAATGTAAGATGAGTGAAAATGTTTAATGGGACTCTGCAGAGTTATCAGTGGGTAAATTTAAACAAACAAGCTTCATTGAGAACATAAGATGAAGAAGAGAGCGTAATAGTTGCACTGTGGTCTGTAGTCAAATTCCTACGTTTGTTTTACATAGCCCTTAACCAACTAACCAATTAATTAATATACTTTCAGTTATATAATGATTAATAAAAAATGCATAGGCATTTAGATATATTTTCAGTAAAAATAAAAAAAGTAATAAACTTGATTCATGATCACATTTATTTCTAAATACATTACTTAATTCAAAAATTAAACAACTGATTCATGGATTAAATATTTTTATAGAGCTTCAGAATTTCTTCCAATTGTTCATAGATATACTGGATTTTGGATATTATGCTTGTTTTTGTATTTTCTTTTTATATAATGCTTTTAAATACATTTAATTAAAACCCCAGTCTTTCAGCAGGCAACTTAAGTCGTAAATTGAGTTGACATAATTGTAAATATATCTACTGTGCTGTAAAGACCTCAGTGAGTTTTTATTTAAAACATTAGTTGAACAACAGCATTATTAAAATGGAGAAACACTGCAGACATATCTGACAGAAAGTTATGAAAGAATATTCTTTAGCTCTGTAATCTCATTAACTCTGTTCATATCAGTCATCTGGACATAAAGAATATGACACAAATACTAATCCAACAAGACAGAATAGTTCACCTGGTTTAAGAGCCCAGCATTTAATAGAAATAGCCAAGAGGCCTATTTTTCCAAGGGGGCTTTAGTTTTCTGCAGCTTTGGTGATGGGGGATCTGGGACAAACATTAGTCCTACTCCATGAATCCAGTCGTTAATCAATGTAGGAGAAATTGTAAACATGTGGAGGAAGATGCTTGTGGCAGAAGAAACCAAAAATGAGCATTATGGTAAACATTTAAAGCTATATTTCTCTAGGTAATCTAACCATGTGCATGGTGGCAGCATCATGCTGTGGGAATGCTTATTTCGAAAGAAGCTGCTCAGAGATGTTTAGAGGCAATCCAGAGGTAAAACCTCAAGTTGCTGGTGAGACTAGAGTGGGGGTTCATTTTTCAGCAGAGCAACCCCAAATACAGAGACTGAGCTAGAATGCTATGGTTTAGATCAGAGCGGCCATCTTCAAATGGTTCAGTCAAAGTCCAGACCAAAATCAAATGGTTTTAATGTGGCCAGACTTAAAAACTAATCTTCCCAGATGCTCACTCAATATAAACTTTAGCTCTTTTTCCAAAAAAGGAATAGTAAAAGATGGATATTTTAGTTTTACAGCAGATTGAGACTCAGTCCAGTGGTAACCAGGGTAACAGGTGGTGCAGCAAAGTACTGAATGGAGAGCAAATGCATGTTACATTATTCAGATTTTATTTCAGAACAAATGTCTCACAATGAACCACTAATTTGTGTTTGTTCCCCACATTAAATCCTGATTAAACACATGGAAATTTGTGTCGCTAATGTTTCAAATGTAAAAAGGTTTAAGCTATCAACATACCTTTGCAAGGTAATAGACATGTAAAAAAATGCACATCTTTTTAAGAAGATTCACAGATAGAAGTCAGTGTGTGTGAGGAGACGATCACAGAGGACGGTGGTACAAAGGTTTACTGGGTAAGCTCACATCATTTGAATGTCAAATTGGGCCTATTGGGCTGTGTGTGAGAGACAGAGAGAGAGAGAGCAAACGAAAGAGGCAGGGAGCTGCTTTAAACACAAAATGCAAATACACTTTTAACCCCCTACCCTACCCCCACCTCTCCAAACCAACCCTTCACCCCCTCCCTGCAGCACAGCCAGCTTCACAGCCAAGGTTCCAGTATGGAAATGACCAGAACATGCAAATCAGCTCTGAGTGCAGGAAGCCTCGGCCTCAACACGCACGCACACGCCGGCACACATGTGACCTGCAATAGTTACACATCAGTGCGCAGACACAAAAAGTCACTAGCTACATAAAATAAATATTTTTTGTTTTGTCTAGAAAAAAAAATCTGTAGGTTCTAATATCAAGCAAACAGGCAAATTATCAAAAAAGCTGGAAAACTAGAAAAGACCAGAAAAAGAAACAGAAAACATCTCTAAAAATATATTTTTTCAAATATATCACGTGTGAAATAGATTAATGACTGCTGTGTACAATATAAAATATTTTTTTTGCTACCAAAAAGTTCATTTTATTCTTTAAAAGTATTAATGATCATATTTTCTGCCTTCCTAAAGATATTTTAGTGTTTTCCTTTAAGAAGAAGTTGTGTTTTCCCTTATTTCAGAATAGATCCTAAATGTTTATCAAACAAGTTGTATTTCTACTCCTGATTTACGCCTTATTCAGTCATTAAGAGGGTCTCAATCTCAATGAACCTCTGTTGGGGATACATATAAAAGGCAAACTCATAAAAAATCTAATAATATAGGAACTGTAGGCCCTTTGTTTCCATCAGCCTGTTAAAAAGAGTTAGTTTCAATTTCTTTCTCCAGATCTGGGAGAATAAAAACGTTCATATTTTCCATGTTCTGAGGTTCTGGCCCCAGTTTGGGCCAATTTTTGACAGGAAAGATGAAGAAACCAAAATAACTACATGACACCTTGTGAAGATACATATTAATTATTGTAGTACTCCACATTTCTGCAGTAGATTATTAAAAGATTGCTTCAATCACTGACTTTGAATAAATGCAGGAAACCAACAAAACTGCAAACATATGAAATGGTGAAGAAAAATGACCCCCATCTGTACAGAATCCATGGAAAATGAGAAAAATTATTTTTTTAGTGAGGGAACAAATCAATAAATATACACACTGAACTTCTCAATATTTTCGGTTACTGCATTTGTACTGAAAGCAGTTTTATTTTCTGGCCATATCTAAAAAAATACTGTTTTTCCCAATCTGGGACAAACATTTTCACCTTGGAATGTCATCTGGTCCCTTTACCTCACTTTTATAAGGATAACTACAACTCACAATTTGTTAAGATCGTATGTTTAAATGTAATTATTTAATTTTTTTTCGATCATTCACACTAATTTATAGATGTTTTCGTTGCTATTGTGTCCACTTAGTATACCTAAAAAAATGGCGGTGGGTGTTAATTAATATCTCTTTTTTTCCTAAAAAAGCAGTCTGCACGTCTTGAAATGGTCTTAGTTTGCAGGGATGACATATAAGGTGAAAGTGTGTTGATGTAACTAGGTGGAGCATAATATTTCTGATTAAGGGGTCTAAACAACATTAAAGGCTTATTTAGATTTGCCATAAAAAAGACAGAAATATTCCAAATGAAGTAATGCCATCTTATTTTGGTTTAAGTTTGTAATAGCATAATTACTGAGATATGTGCATCAATGAGAATTACCTTGTGAATCTGCTGCCATAATTAATCAGGTTAGTTTAGATGTTTTTTATTTCTACTTCCAAATGCTCTTAGATTGATTTAGATCAATTTAAAAGGATCTGTCGGTTCAGATAATACACCTATTATCAGAAATCTCAATCATTTCTACTAAACTAATAAGTATATTATTGGATGGTTACAAAGGCAAATATGGCTAAATATTGTTTAATACAATCTAAATAAACTGGCAGTAATTGCAGACGAATATTTGGCTTTGAGCAAAAAAAGTTCAAGCATCCCTATCTTACAAATTTGACTCTGCAGCATAGCTCAAAATGTGATCTCCAGCTACTGATTTTTAAGACATGATGCTGAGATATCATCCAGATGACTCTGTATCCACAAGACTTAATCTTTGTTTTATTTCCTGTTTCACTAGTATAGTCCTGGGAGCTGGATAATAGCCCAACAGATTTGCTTTAATAAGTAGTAGACCATTATGGTTTGTTGCCACAAGGTTCCACTGGGTAAT